GGTTCAAAGGCCACTCCATATCTATCAGAGATTGAAGCTAGACTTTAATTCAAGTGTCTCACTGACCTTCGTAGTATGTTACGCATAGTACTTTTTTTGTCCTAGCTTTCTGTTTTCTAGTTCCAACAAACATTTTCAATCCGTTGCTACTGGTTCAATGCGGAGCGCCCCACCACTGACCAGTCTCGACTTTCGAGCCGTTTGGAACATTAAAGAGCTTGGTGACAACAAGAATGACAAAGTTGTACTTCCTAATTCATATGTGTTGGGATAATGGCCCAACCGGGTTTCGACCCATCATCCCTTAAAGGCCCATTGGATGCTCCTCCCCCAAGCCCCAAGCCATTTGGGGCAGGCGGGCAGCTATCCTCAAAGGCAGCGACGAGGTTCGTCCCCAATAGCGACGAACGACCCCAGAGTACCAGCCACATTGGGCAGCCAGCCATAATCCAAGGGGTATCTGTGGGAAGACGCTCGTACCCATGTGGCAGCTCGTTGCCTCGGCCCAGGAGACAGCCCAAGGCATACCGGAGGCAAGATCATGGGGACGCTCGTCTCCACCCTTTGGCGGGAAACCAAGATTCTGGCGGGAGAAGCATTTAATGCGGAAGATTTGGTGGTTGGGGTCTTAGCCACCCACAGCCCGTCACGTCATCATGTCTAACTACCCCTTATTGGTATAAATAACAACATTTATTTCATTGTAAGAGGTTGTCAACTTAGCACTCTTAGCAAATAGCATCTCTAATAGCTCATATCAATAGCATTGGATGAACGGCCTCAGGGCTCTTGTAACGAATTGTGTTGTATTAAGGCTTCTCCCGGAACTTAATAAGATACGGCTCATTACTACGATTGTTTAAGCCTTCTCTTGCTTGTTTAGTCATCAAACCACCAAAACGTCCATTCGAAATCCTTGGATTATGTGTTAGGCCTACGAATCGAATGAATAAACCTCAACAATATGTTTTAGATATTAAATATTTTATATAAAGTGCAGATTTAGAGAACAAAAATATAATAATCTAAATAATACAAGTATATCAAATTTGCACATAGGATAGATTACTTCAAGTATAAAAATAGAATAGTCAGTTGTTCCTTAAAACTTAAACATGTATAGGTATCTTGATGAATGATGTTAAACTTTAATCAAAAGTATATTTTTATATGAAGTTTGAAATTATAAACAGTACTACATATATATATATATATATATATATATATATATATATATATATATATATGTGAACAATGATATAAAAATGTTGTTTCCAACAAGAAAAAAACGATATTGGCATAAATTGACCGAATTTGGTATGGATCATAACATGTTTTTGGAACGGTGCCGTGCCAAATAGCTTGTTCCAAAATGACATTGACAGAAGTTTGGCATAAATTTTAAATATCCGTGTCAAATTTGTGCCAAATATCCTATGAATTTTGACAAATCCGTGCCAATTTCATCATTTTTTGTAGTGTTCGTTGAAATTCTCTCTTGAAAAATATACTTTGTACAACGTATTAATCAAAGCCAGTATCCAAAATTTATGGCCATTGACCATTAAAGTCAAACATGACAATGTTTTAATGGAGTAAGAGATTAGTTTATACTAATATTAGTAAAAACCTAAACAGTGGATGTATTTAGTTCATACATGAACACACATGTATGATGGGTTCATGTAAAAAATAGTCATCTTACAAAAAAGAATAGACTTATACCCTCATGTCTAAAACCAAGAAACTAGATCAATGCAACTAAAAGTATGGAGACAAGTATTATCTTGGGTCCTAAATAAATTTTCTATTTTTATTTTTGGACAGATCTAAAATAAAGTTTATATTCTTGTATTTGGCAAGTTTTTAATACTACTTCCGTCCCGGAATTATCTTCTTATTTGACTGGGCATGAGTTTTAAGATAGTGGGAAATGTGTGGTGGAGAGTTGTGCAGAGGAAAGAGAAATGCGTAAGAATGGTTGTGAAGCACAAATTCTTTGCCAAAAAAGGAAAAAGGAGATAAATTTGGGACGGATCGAAAAGGAAAGAATGAAGATAATTCCGGGACGGAGGGAGTATAAAGTTACTCTTATACTCTTACTTTATCTACTTTTTATAAGAGTATATAATGAGAAAGTCAAAAGCAAAAATTCTACTCCCTCCGTCCCGATCGAATTGAATTACAAACTTTGACCGACACAAGGATTAAGAAATGACAATAAATTATGTTTGCTTTTTACACTTTTACCCATCTTCCTAAAAGTAGATGTCTTTAAGTTAATGGGAAAAAGTAAAAGTAAAGGTAGATTTGTCACTTTATTCTTATTTACATACCTAAAATAGAAAGTGGAAAATCATTTTGGGACAACCAAAATAGGAAATTTTGCAAATCAAATTGAGACGGAGGGAGTATTTTTTAAAAACCGTAGAGTCAAACTAAGAAATTTATTTAGAACCAGAGGAAGTATGTAGTGAAAGGCCGGATCTAAACAACCGGCTAGGTCATCATTCAGCGGACGCGAAGGGTCAGCCTGATCAATGGATTATAAAAAATATGTAGAATTATATATCAGACTAAAACTACAAATAAAAAAATATTCATATACGGAGTATGTAATAATGATGATACCTAATAAGAATATGATAAAATATACTGTTCTAAAATGTACAGCTTTAACAAAATTCTAAATGCATTTGAAGTAGTATAGACAATAGATATGAGTAATTGAGTATAACAGTTATTACAAAATCCTTAATAAATTGTGTAACTAATTTTTAATTATATTTGGAATAATGTATACATAATTGGACAGTATAATTTAACAAAAAAGTTTTAACTTAAATATCAGAGCGTATTTCTTTTTCAAAATCGGAAAATATGAAACCGAGAGACAAATTGATGGGGGTTTAATGCACCAAACCCCATCGTGATATATAAATTCAGCGCATTAGCCCCCCTGTGATTTGAAAAATGCATCAAACCCTCTTGTGTTTTAATTAATCATGCACATAACCCCTTTTATGAATAAATTTAATGATTTTGAAATGGGAAAATCGCACTTTTAGTCCCTGAAATAGTCACCATATTGAAATGTCAGACCTGTATTCCTGAGTTTGTGAATATCACCCCTCAATTGTCCAAATTGCTGTAAATGTGGTCCTTTGAGGGTGAAATGTACACTGCGGGTGAGTAGTACATTTCACCTCTCAAAGGATCACATTTACAACAATTTGGACAATTGATGGGTGACAATTACAACCTTCGAAATATGAGTGTGACATTTCAATATGGCAACTATTTCAGGGACGAAATGTGCGATTTTCCCTTTTGAAATCAATTTTCCTAATGTTCTGATTTAATATGCAAGTAAATATGTCAAAATCTTTAAATCATACAAAAATGTTAATCATTTTTCTTTTATTTGACAATTGAATTTGTTCATAGAAGGGATTTTGCGCATAATTAATTAAAACACAAAGGGGTTTGACGCATTTTTTAAATCAAATGGAGCTAATGCGCCAAATTTCCATATCATAGGGGGTTTTGTTGCATTTAACCCCAAATTGATCGAAACCGATCCGAATGAAATTGAAACTGATCGATATTTTGCGACTGAAAGATGGAGACGAGACGATAAGAGTCTATCATAATATGGATATGAGGCTTTCATTTAGGACCTCCTAGCACTGCTGTTGTCTTGGCCTTATGACTAGGGATGGCATTTTGAACCGAAAAATCGAAAACCGAACCGAAAATAACCGAATCGGTTTAGAAAAAAACCGAACCGGGCCGAACCGAACGAAATTGGGACCCAATAATCGGGACCCGAAAAAAAATCGGTTCGATTTCGGTTTAAGTTCACAAAATATCGGTTCGGACCGAACCGAACCGACATTTTTATATTACTAATAATAATTGTTATTTATAATAATAATAATTATTAATGACATTTACTAAGGTATAATATCAAACCGCGTATGTTTCTCACAAACTTGACGTGTAGCCGACTTGGTCAGCAAGCGTTATTCCTTCCAGGAAACGTCGCACGTTCGAATACCAGCTATGTGCTAAAATTTTATTTTTTTAGAATTTGGCTTCTTTCCTATTCTATTCTATCCCACACCGGGAATTGAGTAGCTCCCCACTCCAAAAACTTCAATATAAGCTACGTCCCCTTGGTATAGAGGGCCGATATATGTTATGGGCATTCATTGGGCTAATGAGGCTCATATATTGGCAAGTTCCAACGGGCTTGAGTCTATTAAATATTAGTTCAATTTTTTTTCTTTCAATTATGTCAGTTTTTTTTTTGGTTTCCGGTAAATCGAACCGAAAAAATCGGGCACCAAAAATCGGTACCCATTCTTAAAACGGTCCGATTTCGGTTTTAATAATTTGGTAAACCGAATTATCGGTTCGGTTCGAGTATATACTGAATCGGTTCGGGTCGCGAACCGAATCCAGCCCTACTTATGACATTAGGTTTTTCTATAAGGGTTTGTTTATTAGCTTACACATTAAAACTATCACACAAAATGATCATATGTAAAATTTAGGAAAACAATCACTTTCATGCAAAATTTAGGAGTAGTCCAATGGATGACCATCCACCCCCAAGTCTCTCCTTTGTGGGAGGTCTTGGGTTCAATTCCCACCAAGGGGAGATGAGGGAGGTCTTGCTAAACCGAATTATCGTGTGGTGGGAGCAGCAGTCTAAAAGGTGATGTAAGTCCTGCTGGATTCGTAATAGACTTTGAATTATCGTCCTTTGAAGCCAGTACTGACGAGGCTGACTGTGATCAGATCCGGATTTAATAGACCACAGCATTATGGAAGCGTAAGCTCCTACACCTGGATTATCAAAAAACAGGAGTAAGACATTGTGTGATGAGATATTTAATTTATTTTTAAATGGCACGCAAAGTCGTTATAATATTTTACGGAGTAAGAGTTTAAATGGCACGCAAAGTGATGAGATGCCTCGGGTCCCAATAGTTGGCATTCTCTGCTTCCGTTGACAGTCACGAATAACAAACATACCGTCGTTCTCCAACTTCTTACCGAAAGCCCTAGAAAAAGTTGTGGGTTCTGAATTCTGATGGTGGTAGGATCATCAGCTACGAAGCAAGGCCTGCCTTCATTTGGAGCAGCTGCAGCTACCAGAAATGCGATCGCCATCGACATGGACGGGAGCTCCCCCGCTGCTTCTGTAGCGACGCCGAATGATGAAGCTCTGCAGTCTCACAACGCCAAGTCCGTTACGGAAGTGAATTTAGGTTTCACAGAGAGAGCAATTTCCGCTGCCGGAGCTGCCGTTCTCTCCGCAATCCTCGTTAACCCTCTTGATGTCGCCAAGGTAAGGCACTTTTATTCGTTTTCAAGATTTTCATGCCCGTGTATGTCACCATAAAACACGCATAGTGATATGTGTGTGTGAGTGTATGTATTTATGCTATTTTTGTGATGTTAGTTCAAAAGGCTCTTCATAATCCTTAGTTCTGTTATGGCTTGCCAAATTAACTAGGGAACAATTGGTCATACTCCGTAGTTTTTAATGATCACTTCTTTAGTTCTTTTTCTACCAAACCAATCAATTTCTCTCATTGTCTTGCGTTTAAAATGGTTTAATCTGTAAGTTGATTTCATTTTTGAGATTTTAGAACCTGTCTATGTTGTAGTGCTTAATCCATGCTGCATTGTAGAAGCCATTGTGAATCATTTCCGTTATTACTCCTACCTTTTCAGACAAGGTTGCAAGCTCAGGCTGCTGGCGTCCCTTATGATGGTATTGGTAGGATGGAGTCTTTTGGATCGCATACTGTAAGTTGGCAGCGTCTCTGAAGTTCGAATGCACTTGGCTTCAATTAAAACTCTTTTTTTGTTAATATTTTGTATTTTGTTCAAAGAAGAGTGTTTTTTTGCTGATTGGAGTTGAACACAAGACATGAAGATATCCTTTTTTTATGCTATGTTTTGTGTGTAATTCAGCTACTGGAGTTTTGTATGTGTAGAAATGGGATATGAAATGCAACTGCTGCACAAATGCAATTTTTGGCACCGAGTCTGCATGCTCTTCAGATTCTGCCCGGTACAAAGGGACTGTGGATGTCCTCTCCAAAGTGATACGCCAAGTTAGTGATTTTCATATGGAAGTGAAATTGTCCACATTATAAGAAGCAAAGTCATTTAATTTATCTGTTTTGAAGAACAATATGTACAAGTACATCTTATTATGTGCCACACTTCCGTGACATTAGTGCTACAACTGTACAATATTAATATCTTCCGGTGTAATTGATCCATTTGAAGATGTTAGAGACTTAGAGTACGGCTGATGAGACGGCTTTGCAGGAAGGATTTACTAGATTGTGGAGAGGCACGATTGCAAGTTTGGCATTGGCAGTCCCTTCTGTAAGTTCTACTTCACATAGGATTGTTTTTGGTATTTATTGAGCCATAAGGGTTTTCCACATACTAGTAGTTTTGTGTCGTATTAAATAAGTTTTGTCAACTCAATGAATTTTATGTAGGTGGGGATCTATTTGCCTTTATATGACATTTTCCGGAATTCTATTGAAGATTATGCTTTGCACGGTGCCCCAATAGTTTCTCCATATGTACCCTTAGTTGCGGGTTCATTGGCAAGGTCAATAGCATGCATCACTTGCTACCCAGTTGAGCTTGCAAAAACGCGGATGCAAGTAAGCACTTTTTCTCTCCCTTTTTCTTTGTCTTATTTATTGTATATTTGAAAAAGTGGCATTGACATGCCTATATGGAAGGTTTCATAAGCTTTTTATTATAGGCTTTCAGGGATACCCCAAATAGTGTGAAGCCTCCAGGAGTGTGGAAGACATTGTTTGGGATCATTTCTTCTGTCCGAAGTGTGAATGGGCATCAACATTGTAAGTTTGATTGTAAACCTTCACGGTAGTCTTTATGAAGTGCATAGTAAGTGCTAATTTTAAGTACTGGCCTTTTTCTTAAGTCACAATCCATCCACCCCTAATTAATTTATCCCAATTTACTTTTTTTAGACGGATTTGTGTGGTTGATATTTATTTGGAAAGCAAAGGATCAATATCAACCACACAATTCATTCCTTGGTTGAAAATGAGAAGATTATATGGGGACGGCCCAATAAGGAAATCAAGTTATTTAAAAGGGGACAGAGCGCATACTTCGTTGTATCCATAAGATAGATTTATCATATTGTAAAATACAGTATGAGAATATGCAATCTCAAATCAAATATAAAGAATGATACCTGACATAAAAGGTTCAAGAAAATATTTATAAAAAACTATACTTTCTAGGCCTCTATTATTCTACCTACTGCTGAGTGCTCAACACCTTTGATAACACCATTACTCGTCTTCCAACTACAATATTCTTAATAGCAGTCAGAAGTGCAATTCGTCACTTTTTAATGCACTACTCATCTCAACATGTTGTTATGTAGACATTAAGCTATTTCTAACATTTTATTTCTCATTTCTTTTCCTTCCCTTTCGCGGCTAGCAATTCAAGTGTACCGGCAATTGTGGACAGGACTAGGGGCACAACTTGCTCGTGATGTCCCTTTCTCTGCTATCTGCTGGTCAACTCTTGAGCCAGTAAGTATTAAAAGCCTCTTGGTTGATAAGGACAATAATCCTATTCTTCAGGTTTCACGTGCATTTTCTCTTCAGCTTGATCCTAAATCATATTCAGACTAGGAGAAAAGTGCTGGGTATGATGAATGAAGAAAGGAGTGGAGGCAGTATAATGGGCGCAAACTTCAGTGCTGGTTTCATTGCAGGGAGCCTTGCTGCTGCTGCTACATGTCCTTTAGATGTGGCAAGGACCCGTAGGCAAATAGAGGTGTGTACCTTAATGGGTGGGTGGTTTCTTTCTAAAATCATCTCCAGGGACGGACAAAGTGAAAAATTCGTAATTCTTTGAAAAGTAAAAAATGTCGTTATCAGTATGAGAGCATCCACATTTCCAAAGCCATGATATCTGAATAATCTGTTTTTCAATGTCCCGAACTATAGTCTCCAAATATCTATTTTTTTGTGGGGCATCCACTCACCAGTTTAGCTTTGATTTGGATTTTTTAGAATGACCCTAAGAGAGTGCTGGAGATGACAACTAGAAGAACATTAATTGAAATCTGGAGGTATAACTTGTGGCTGTTCTTTTTTACATATATATATTTCCGTTGGTGGTCATATATGTTTAGCTTAGTTAGTGCCAACTGCTAAGATACAATTGTAATGAGTAACTACTTATAGTTGTGTGTGTGAACACTAGGGATGGGGGAATGAGAGGATTGTTCACAGGAGTTGGGCCAAGAGTTGCGCGAGCTGGGCCATCAGTCGGAATAGTTGTTTCCTTCTACGAGGTTGTAAAGTACACATTGCATAGCAGGTATAGAAACTACTGATGCTGTCTCACAGAAGAGAGGACGACTTTAGGGTGTATAGATTATTAAGCAATAAGGGTAAATTAGGCCGATCTAATCACCTCCTGTTTGGCGGGGTTTTTGCCCTCGTTCTAGCCTGCCATTTGTTTATGTTCTTTAGTTAGTTCAGTAAGTTATGAAGAAAATGTTCATTAATTTGTACTTGGCATTCAGGCAAGTGGATGAAATAAGGAAAGTTTTTGTAAAAAGTTACTCTGTATCTATTACTTAGTAGATTATTCTGCTCCATTGGGTTTTTACCAGAATGAAAAAATGGGGGAAAACTATCAAATAGATCCTTATACTTTTACGAAAAAGTCAATCAAGTCCCCTAAGTGTTAAAAAATAATCAAAATTGTTATGAAATGAAGGAGATGAAGACTAAACTTAAGAGAGATGTATTAATAAAAGTTCTGAATATCTTCTTCTTAATCTGAGAATTTTTGAATCTCTGAATTTCTAAGTTAATTTACAAAGAATTGAATTAGCCCTATTTATACTAGCCAGATTTAGGGGATGAATCATCTAGGAATGATTCTACACAATTTGCTGGCAGTATTAGATCTACCCATCTGTCTAACTATGATTACAAGGATATAAATTAGATGAGTAAGCTTATTACTAGGATCAGAAGTAGCTTGGTGTCCTAATGACAAGGATGGACATTCACACTTGTCAATTTGGTGATTTTACAACACTCCCCCTTGAATGTTCATCCTTGAATACATATTTGTTATTTTAAAAATTTATTGTGAAAATTAAGGGGTAAAGATTACGACTTATAATGTCGTTGTATTTGGATATACTGTCTCGTTAAAAACCTTATCAGGAAAAACCCAGTGGGATAAAAATCTGATGAAGGGAAAAAGAGTGCAGTGCATTCAAATACTCCCCCTGAATTTAGTATACATTATGAAGACGTCGCATGCCGATTTTCTGTACAAGTTCCATGAACTTCTTCGGGGGTAAAGATTTGGTGAAGAGATCGGCTGGATTTTCACTGGATCTGATTTGTTGAATGTTGATCGTCCCTTCTTTATCGAGATCATGAGTAGAGAAGAACTTTGGTGATATGTGTTTTGTTCTGTCTCCTTTGATATAGCCTTCTTTAATCTGAGCTATGCACGCAGTGTTGTCTTCGTAGATCACAGTAGGATTACAAGTAATAGGCTTCATACCGCATTCGTTTTGGATGTGTTGAATCATAGACCGTAGCCACACACATTCTCTTCCGGTTTCATATAATGCAATTAACTCCGAATGATTTGATGATGTAGCTGTCAATGTCTGCTTCATAGATCTCCATGAGATTGCGGTGTTACCATAAGTAAATACGTACCCGGTTTGTGATTTCGCCTTTTGAGGATCTGATAAGTATCCAGCGTCTGCATATCCGATTAAATCGGCTTTTTCATCTTTGTGGTAGAATAGGCCGAGATCAGTTGTACCGCGAAGATAACGGAATATGTGTTTGACCCCGTTCCAATGACGCCTTGTTGGACATGAGCTGTACCTAGCTAATAAATTTACAGAAAATGCAATATCTGGTCTAGTATTATTAGCTAAATACATTAAAGCTCCTATAGCACTCAGATATGGTACTTCTGGACCGAGTATTTCTTCGTCGTCTTCTTGGGGACGGAATGGATCGTCATGTATGTTGAGAGATCGAATGATCATTGGTGAAGTCAAAGGATGAGCTTTGTCCATATAGAATCTCTTCAAAACTTTCTCGGTGTAATTGGATTGATAGATGAAAATTCCATTCTTCAAATGCTCAATTTGAAGTCCGAGACAAAATTTGGTTCTCCCGAGATCTTTCATTTCAAATTCTTTCATAAGATATTTTGCAGTATTTTCAATTTCATCGGGAGTTCCAATAATGTTTAAGTCATCAACATATACTGCAATTATGACGAATCCCGAATTTGATCGCCGAATGAAAACACATGGACTAATCGGATCATTCTTGTATCCTTCTTTGAGAAGATATTCACTGAGACGATTATACCACATTCGTCCAGATTGTTTTAGTCCATACAATGACTTTTGTAGTTTAATGGAAAACATTTCTCGTGGTTTCGAGTTGTAAGTTTCAGGCATTTTAAACCCTCCGGGAACTTTCATATAAATGTCTGTATCGAGTGAACCGTATAAATATGCAGTCACTACATCCATTAGGCGCATTTGCAGCCTTTCAAAAACAGACATGCCAATGAGAAACCTTAATGTAGTTGCATCAACTACTGGAGAATAGGTTTCTTCATAATCAATTCCCGGCATTTGAGAAAACCCTTGGGCAACAAGTCGAGCTTTATATCTTACAATTTCATTTTTCTCATTGCGTTTACGCACAAATACCCATTTAAAGCCCACCGGTTTTACGCCTTTTGGCGTAGGGACTATCGGTCCAAAAACATCACGTTTTTCAAGTGATTTTAATTCAGCCTGAATAGCTTCATTCCATTTTGGCCAATCGTGACGTTTCCGACATTCTTCAATAGATGTTGGCTCATTGTCATTGTTTTCATTCATAACATTTGTGGCAACGGCATAGACAAATATCTCATTAATATCAATATCTTTTCGATTCCATTGTATTCCAGTAGAAACGTAATTTATTGAAATTTCATAATTATCAATGATTCTATCATTATCTGGAATATCTTCCTCGTTTAAGGAAATTGGATCATCATTTGAGATGTTTGTTTTGTTAATATCATTTTCTATGCTAGTATTTTCAAATTGTTCATGTTCTTGTTCAGAAGGATGAACATCTTTGGCATCACAGATCAATTCCTGCCTTTTACTTTTTCTTGGTTTTATATCTTTTGATCCAAGTGGCCTGCCACGCTTTTTGCGTATAGAAGAATCATTTGTAAGAGATTTTTCAAAATTCTCTGTTGGATTTTCGATTCTGGCTGGAGCATTCATAGCAGGAATATGTGACTTTGTCACTTTCTTTGTATCTGTGAATGCATCAGGCAACTGATTTGCAACATTTTGTAAATGGATTATATTTTGCACCTCTTGCTCACATATATTTGATCTGAAATCAAGGTGTGATAATCCTGTTGCATTCCATGTTATTTCTTTCGTACATGGGTCCGATTTATTAGTTTCTCCCCCTAAGGTTGGGAATACTGTCTCATTGAAATGACAGTCAGCGAATCGTGCGGTGAATAAGTCACCAGTCATCGGTTCAAGATATTTGATTATTGAAGGAGATTCAAATCCAACATAAATTCCCAACCTTCTTTGAGGACCCATTTTTGTACGATAAGGTGGAGCAATCGGAACATAAACAGCACAACCAAATATTTTAATGTGTGCTAAGTTTGGCTCTTGTCCAGTAACTAATTGCATTGGAGAATATTCATGATATGCAGTCGGTCTAAGCCGAATTAAATTTGCTGCATGTGAAATAGCATGTCCCCAAGCTGATGAAGGTAAATAACACTTCATTAATAATGGTCTAGCGATTAATTGTAATCGTTTAATCAAAGATTCAGCAAGACCATTTTGTGTATGGACATGAGCAACAGGATGCTCCACATCAATCCCAATCGACATACAATAGTCGTTAAATGATTGAGATGTAAATTCTCCTGCATTGTCAAGTCGGATTCTCTTTATAGAATGATCCGGAAAATGAGCTCTTAATCGTATGATTTGAGCAAGGAGTTTAGCAAATGCTAAATTTCTAGTCGATAAAAGACTAACATGTGACCAATGTGTTGAAGCATCAATCAACACCATAAAATATCGAAATGGTCCACATGGTGGGGCTATCGGCCCACAAATATCTCCTTGAATCCTTTCTAAAAATGCAGGTGATTCAGTTGCAATTTTGTTCATTGAAGGCCTGATGATCATTTTTCCAAGAGAACAGGCCTTACAAGGAAAATCACTTGATACTGGAACCCTGATATTCTTTAATGGGTGTCCAAGTGAAGTCTTAATGATTTTATGCATCATTACTTGGTCTGGGTGACCTAAACGGTCATGCCACAACATGAATGTTTTCCGATCATCTAACTTTGTGTTAGAAACCAAATTTATTTCGAATGGACTAATATATGTGAAATATAGTCCTGAGGAATATGCTGGCATTTTTTCACAAATATATTTAGTGCCAGATTTAGTTGTTGTAAGACAAAGATATTCCTTTTGATTTTCATTCATGGTTTCTATGTGATAACCATTTTGACGCATATCTTTAAAGCTTAATAAATTTCTCCGCGATTTGCTGGAGTACAGAGCGTCATTTATAATAATTTTTGTCCCGTTAGGGAGCATCACATATGCTTTCCCAGAGCCTTCAATGAGCTTCGCAACACCTGATATTGTATTGACTTTAGCTTCAACTAAAGTCATTTGAGAAAAATATATTTTATTTCTCAAAATGGTGTGCGTTGTGCCGCTGTCTATCAGACATAGCTCTTTATCATTTGAATGATCCATATCTTCAATATATATAAATAAACATTAGCTTGATCACAAATTATGCATTTTATTTAACATAAGAGTACATACATTATACATATTTAATTAAAAACCAAATAAAAAGGGGAAGAAAGAAAAGGTACATAAAACTAGTATTTTAGTATTGTACAACATGAGGAGTCTACTATTTTATTTAGTAACATTTTGGTTTAAGGCAAAAGCATCATCCATAATGGCATCATCCATAATGGCATCATCCGCGAAAAAATCAGACACGTCAAATTTTGGCAGAGATGGAGTTGTGTCATTGACATAATTAGCTTCCATATTATTGCCTTTGTTCAAATTCATGGAAGATTGAAATAACTCCACCAGATGTTTCGCAGTACGACATTTGTTAGCCCAATGCCCCGTCATGCCACACTTATAACAAGTCGTCTTTACCGAGGTTTTTGTAGGGCGATTTATTTGATGGGCCTTTTGTTTGCCCTTGCCCTTGTAATTTGGTCTTGCGACCTGTTTATATCCTCTGTGAGACTTGTTATTATGACGACTATAATGCCCACGTTTAAAATGCCTTCTACTGCCACTGTATGTTGCATTTGATTCAGTGGCTAAATTATGGCCAGATGGACCATAAACCGAAGGACTAGAACCAGTGGGTCTCAGATTATGATTTTTCATCAAAAGGTCATTATTTTGCTCAGCTACCAATAATACTGATATTAAGTCGGAGTATTTTTTAAAAACCATTTTCTCTATATTGCTGTTGGAGCAGCATGTTAGAGATATGCATAGTAGAAAAGGTTTTCTCCAACATATCAGCATCAGTGACTTTTTGTCCGCATAACTTTAATTTAGATGTTATTTGAAACATAGCAGAATTATAGTCACTGATTGATTTAAAGTCCTGAAATCTTAGATTGATCCAGTCATACTGAGCCTTAGGCAAAAGGACCTTTTGTTGGTGGTCATACCTCTCTTGTAAATTGTCCCATAATTCTTTTGGATCATCGACCAAGAGATATTCAGATTTGAGACTTTCATGGAGATGGTGACGGAGAAAAATTATAGCTTTCGCTTTATCCTGGGAAGATGATTGATTAATAGCCTCAATAGTGTCTTCAAGACCATTAGCCTTTAAATGTGCTAGAGCATCAACTTTCCATTCGAGGTATTTTTGACCAGATAGATCAAGAACATCAAATTCTCTTTTGCTTATGTTTGCCATGATATTCTACAAAATTGTTAATTTAATATTATTATTGTAACATGAGATTTAAATGTAAGTTGTACTCCATATATAATAAGTAGTTTAAAAGACTTTGAAGTTATAGTTTCATGAGATCAACTCAAATTAGAATCCATAATTAATATAAGACTAAATAATACTACATATGTTATACAGTGAAGTTTAATTCAAATTAGAATATATAATTTCTAGACAATTTTGTTAAATGTGATCATGGTGTAAAATAAACTTTGTATTGATCTAAGAATAACAACCGAGTTCACCTAACAAGCTAGGCTTATGATAGTCATGTAATTATTCATTTACTCGTGATAATAAGAAGACATATGAAAGTTATACGGTGGTGTAGTTTCATGATATTGAGATATGCTCTAGATCAGAGAGTTTTAATACAGATGCAACCCGTGATAATAAGACAAATGGCCATGCAAACTAGTGACCTTGTATCTTATGTTAGGAAATCTTTCTTGCTATATTAATTAAAAGTTGATCGAGTCATTGATTTAAAATTATCAATCGTGCATAAATTTATTTGTATCTTTGATTAAAATATAAAACGTGAAGGGTGTAAATTTTACATCTAATTTGTAACTAAACCTACATATTAATTAATTGAAATACGTAGTGTACATATGTCAAAAACGGAAAAGACAAATGCATGTGATGATCTGACTAATTTTAACATTTTAACGTATATGCTCTGTTTATATGTTCGAGAGACTTGTAACTATTTTTTTTGAAAGAAACGAAATATGTCTCGTGACTAGCTAGTGGATGGCACCATTCAAGTATTACTACGAAGTACTATTTCATTATAATAATATTGTTTGGACTTATACATGTGCATCAGACTTTGAAGGACCCGTGACTCTATCTAGCTAGCTAGTTTTAAATATAATGAATTACGTTTCATTTTAATTTGCTTTCTCATACTCACACTTAGGATTGCTCTCTTGAGGCATGTAAGGTTTTGTTTATTAGTTCCTATCTCTTCCCTTATTTCTTTTAAGAGAGTACGTATATGAAGCTCAATTAAAGAAACAACTTATTCCCAAAGGTCTGTATGGTATCTATATATATATATATTTTTTTCACACGTATATGATGGAAGTTTAATTTAAAAATTCAGAATAATTTTCTGTTTTGAGTAGTAAAAGAAGATAATAGATATTGATGTTAATACCTGCAGGAGATGATGATTTCTTGAATATTTTGAGCAGATTCGTGCTGATAACGTGTTATGAAATGAAGGAGATGAAGACTAAACTTAAGAGAGATGTATTAATAAAAGTTCTGAATATCTTCTTCTTAATCTGAGAATTTTTGAATCTCTGAATTTCTAAGTTAATTTACAAAGAATTGAATTAGCCCTATTTATACTAGCCAGATTTAGGGGATGAATCATCTAGGAATGATTCTACACAATTTGCTGGCAGTATTAGATCTACCCATCTGTCTAACTATGATTACAAGGATATAAATTAGATGAGTAAGCTTATTACAAGGATCAGAAGTAGCTTGGTGTCCTAATGACAAGGATGGACATTCACACTTGTCAATTTGGTGATTTTACAACAAAAATAACCTTTTCCAAGTAATCTGCCGGTAAGCCTATTTCTGGCCTAGGTGGCGTCTAGTTGGCTTTTTCTTTACTATTTTCTGTTTTTTTTTCCTTTTTGTTTTTCTTTCCGTTTTTTCTTCTCTTTCTTACTTCTCGCCCCATCACTTACTTCTTCTGTCTCCCCTAGTCCCCTGAATTTCTGCAACCTGAATTTCTGCAACTCGATGTCTGCTCTTTATTTTCTTTTCTTCATGTTCTTTCCACAACAGAACTTTAACCAAGGTGCCCACAACTTCCTAAACCGCTGTGATGCTGTATCTGGCCGCAAGATCCAGGATTTCTGGTTAAGGGGGCGAATTTTTTTCATGACTGTAGGGGCCTAGGGGGTGAAAAATTTTCGCTACTGTAGCGCGGAGAATTTTTTTCCGCTAGTGTAGCGGGACGTTTTTTTGATAGTATAGGGCTATGCGGCAATTGTTTTGATAGTATAGGGCTCTGTGGCAATTTTTTTAATACGTACACGACGAAGTTTAAAACTGTTACATTCTAAGTATAGACAATGGAAAAATAACTTTGATTTTAAAATTGAAATGCTCTAAAAAAAATATTGATACATTAAATCGTAAGAAATAGCAACCCAAATGAAAGTTATTTGAAGATAAAGAGTTTAATAGGTATACATCCACCAATACTTTTTAAATAACTTTTGCCTTGTTTAACCCCATGAATCTTTATCAGAATAAAGAATTGGTTTTTGAATAATATTATATTGCTGATTCATATATATGGTGCATATTATATTTGCATTAATGGTAAAATAAGTTAATGTTTATTATCTATGCAATAATTAGTTTGTAGAACGTAACAAGTAAATGAATTATGTAATTTAATGTCAACAAAAATTTATATTTTGGATTCACCTCACATGATCTAAAAATTATTTAACTAGTGTGTTTGGTAGTTAATATCATTTGATATTTTACAAAATCGAGTACTAATTATCTACTATGTAATAAATATAACTAAACATTACAAAATTAGGAATTTTTATATAATAAATATTCTAAGTCTTAAACAATGTTCAGAGTTGTTCTATTATACTCCCTCCGTCCCCTTTTAAATGTCCCGGAAGGGGGTGACACGAGTTTTAAGAAAAGTAGGTTTCTGTGGTTGATATTAATAGATAAAGTAAGAATAAAGTAAGAATGATTTTGAGTCACACAAACTTTACCAAATAAGGTATGAGACAATTAAATAGGGACATCCCAATATGATAAAATGGGACATTTAAAAGGGGACGGAGGGAGTATTGTTTATTTGCTTAAGTATGTAAATTATTTTAGACGTTTCTTCTTTTAAATCTTCAATTATGTTTTACATTATGTAAGGCTATATATTAAGGGGTTAGCATTTTGATACTCGCTAGCATTATATCACTTTCTAGCTCTTGTACTAGCAATTGGTTTGGAATTCCCATTCGGCCATTTCTATGTAATCAGTATTAGCATCCTAATACAATGCGAAGAGTACATTATACTCCCGAACTTCGTCGCGGGATGGTTAAATAATGAAATGACACTAATTATTTTCAAAACTGCAAATAAGACCCATGTTCAACTCATATCTTCCGCACAATCTTTTATCTATGTATTAAGTACATTTTTGGTAGGTATACGTTTCTATTTTCTACCTATTGTACCATCTAAAATAACTCTAAAAACTCCTAGTTGTATATTTGTCACTACACTTTTTAAGATTTTTTATAAAAATAAAATAATCCATATCTTTGTGAGAAGCTACATTGAGCAACTTATGAAAAGAAAGATGGTAACTTTTAGCATTATATAGTCACACCAGGTTGCTAGTTGTGTCAGACTTATTCTAAATTAGATGATCAGTTTTAGGTGAAATATTTACTGCTCTTTAGAGAAGATTGGGCCAAGTTCTGATTAGTTGTTAAATAGTGAACACAAGTTCTGCCTAGTATTGGTATTACTGAATTACAGTTTATTGTCTATTAATGATGTGGTTTGGACACATAATTGATGTTTAGTTTTCAAATTCTCTGAGGATTGTTTATTAGCCATGGTCTGATAGTTTTATATGTATCACTCTTACGAGTTTTGTTTGAATCAAACACAATTTATTTTGAGTTAAATTGGTTATTTGAAGAGAGTTAAATTGGCTAATACGGAGTAATAAGTAAGGTGGCCATTCAAAAAAGTGACCGTGTAGGCATTTTTTACTGAAGTTGCCTGAAATGACGATTTTGGACGGCTAATTATATCATACAACTGAGTGTATTATGCTCACCGTACAACTAGATATTATATGTTAAAAGAAATGAATACAACGTTTGAAAAAAATGAGTATTTACATTGAATTATAAAATTAGCATAGTAGATATTTTGGTGATAGTACAATGACAATATAGTTAAATGAATAAGTTGATTTGTAGCATTTGTATGACGTGTAGATCATGATACTATATCATATACTTGTAATACTCAATTGTGCTACCAATACAGCGTTTTAGTACTAATATTCAATTCTTTTAAATGTTATACTCATTTTTTTAACATAAATTACCCGGTTGTATGATGTACGCTCTCGTTTTTGACCTTTTATCCATATATGGAGTATATTTTTTCTCTTCATTTTATCAGAAACATATTTTATAAATTATTTTTTCATGTCAAATTGTCAATACACTTGGTTACAAGTTACAACTTCAGCCGTTTCAATTAATATAGCCACTTAACTATCTTAAATCTTACCAAAACCCCACATATAGATACTCTTTCATGGTTAAACAGTTACATAGTCAATTGAAACTAGTCGCTGAATAGAATTAGTACTATATTTTTGAAAAAGAACAAAACATTAGTACAACCCAAACCCACAAGATGACAAGAAGATATTTTGTGTGAAAAAACGCCTCTTTTCAAGATAAGATGATTTAATCAACAGAACATTAAAAATAGAGCCTTACATAGATCACCATCTACAACAACCATTACTAGCAGCAGATTGAAACAAAAAGTAATCTGGCAGAATAATATTGTAACAAGGTTGCTCCTCCAAGATTTTGTTGAGCTAACACAGTTATCCCCCCCACCCCCTCCCTGTTTGCTCGTGGAATCCAAACCCTTTTGATTTCATATGGTTCTAACTTCAATTTAATTGACTGGAAAAGCATCCATATCATCACTTTCAGATGTTAGAATGAGATTGGAGATACTCTGTAAAACACATCCACATATACAGCTGCCTCAACGCTGCGTATACAACACATCACGAAACTGTTCTTTGGTCAACTGAAACTTCAGCTAAGTTCTCAGGGGCAGCTTTTGTTGTCAAAGGCAAATCCACCAGTGTGTTTGGGGGAGCGAAGTACATATGTAGTGACATCATGCAGATAACAATGCCCAAAAAAAGCTGCACATTGTGACGGGAGAATTGTAAAAATATGTATATTAAAAAGTAGTGTTAATCAACGAGAGATTTCTTATTCTTACGCCCAGAGCTATATGCACAAGTGATGATAGAGGAGAAAAGCAATGTAACTTACTTGAACAGTTGGCTTGAAATTGAATAGGACCACTGATAATAACATTGTTAAAAGCATTGCCATAGATGTGGAGTATACCTACACAGAGAAAGAACATGCAAATTTGATTCAAGTTTATATTTGGTAGAAAAATCAATAATCTCCAGTCTCTACTCTTATTGGGCTGTCCTGTTTCCTTTTAATCAGGAAAGAGCGGAAAGGTTGATATTGATTATTTAATTTCTTTCCTCTCTAAAATAAATCTCAACACACAATTTCATAGTCTTAAAATATGTGTGAAGTCAAATGAGCTGAATAAAAAGAGGACAGATGCAGTACAAGTCATACAGCCAATAATCACCATACACTAACATCTAGACTTTGTTCAGTTTAATAAGGCATGTATCCTAATGCCAAGGAACACTTTAGTGTTCAACTGTATTTAACTTTTAATAATACATCTAAGGAGTTTCATCTTGATAACAACTATTTGACAGAGTAAAGTTATACGGAGTATGTTAACTATGTTTAAAGAAACCACCTGAGCCTGAATTGTACCTAGATTGCTCGTTCCATTAATTACAAAAAACAAGTGTAACTAATATAAATGAAGTAAATACACTTCAATGAATGGTGCACTTGGTTCCAAGTGGTTGAAAACTGTACTCAATCTGAATACAGAAGTCCTCCACCCTTTAGAATGAGCCAATACCATTAGAAAGCATAAGCAATCTAAAGAATTAAAGGCAAGTGAAAGAAAGACTATACCTTCACAATATTGTCAGCATACTTCATTAACCATGATACCAAAAGCCCAGTTGTTCCAAGATTCAAAACCACCAACCATGTTGTAATACTGTATCCATGTAAAAGGCGTTGCCACCATGCACCTCTTTCAAACCCACTTTGGAAATCGTCTATGAGAAGTCGTCCCATGTTAAATATTGAGCCAAATCTAAAATAAACAATGACAAACCGTAATATATTTGGAACATTCCGTGCAGAACAATTACTTTTTTTAGTTCCCGGAATAAAATCACTGAGGTTGAACATTTGTATACAAAGTACAAAAATTCAAGGTGGTTTAGGGAAAAGGCTCCTATTGATTATTACTGAACACTATTTTTTACCATACATATTTTAATTGGAGATGGAAATATGCTCATGAAAGGAACTTACGAATACAACTGAATATTCTGCCAGTACAAGCTGTCGTTGTTCTTTTTCATCAAGAACTCAGTGTAAACACCACCTAAGGCTGAAAGACAAGCAGACAGAATCCCAAACATATATCCCTGGATGGGTGATGAAAATGGTGACTCACAAGAAGCCTCTCCACATCCTTTTACCTATGCGACAGGAACACCCTATTGTCAGACAGATTAAGCCTTTAATGACTTTCAATTTCAACCTTTTCTAAATACAACTGTTCAAGAAATAATATTCTATGATTCTATCTTATTGTATTCAGCAGCAAGGTTAATGCTCATCCTTAACTCCTTATCAGTTATCACAAGGTTGCATTGGAAAGTTTTTTGTAATCACATAACAGCCTAACAGGCACAATGTAAATTGAGTAATAGTTATAAACCAAACACTTCAGTAATTCATTTCTAAGACACCCCCACCTAATGTAATATGAGTAATAGTTATTCAAGTAATGTTCAAGTTTCATGAAAGTATTGATGGTCGCTCACAAAACAGTTTCAAAGGAAAGAAACGCATGAACATATTAGCAGCAGCACCTGGCTTGTGGTTGTCCCAACAGCCAATAATAAAATTGCCATCCACTGCAAAGTAGAAAGCTTCCTCTTCAAAAAAAGCCTAGAAAGTACAAATAATTCCTATTTTATGAAGAAAGAGCAACATGCATAATGGAATGAGACAGGACAAAGGAAACAAAGTTTTGGTACTGAACATCATAAACTATAAATAGGGTACCTGAACAAAATTCCAGTGGTAACAATCTTCAAGTTGCCCATTATCTGATATGTTGATGTATCCACGTACGTCAAAGTTGCAAACTGAACGTTATTGTGAATAAGGTAAATGATGGATGGTATTGGGTATAAACGGATGCTCTTCCAATCCGTTGTCATTTTTGGAGGAGTTGAGCTTTTCATTTCTCTAGACAGAAGGATACTAGAAATGAGAAGCTGCATTTAAATAGAACCTATTAAACAAAGAAGGTTATTAAAGCATAAGAGACTTGAAAAGAACATCCTTCAAACCACTTTGGCTTCGAAATGTTTGAAACCTCTGGATTCAAGTATTACCTTAAACACTTCAGCAAGAAAAGGAACAGTGGCATAGTCATATTCATAGCCCCCATTGCTTTGGGATAACGTCGTCAAGATTCCCTGCCGCATATCATTCACACCAAACATGTAAATCCAAATATTGTGAAGAAATCAGCTCAACATTAGAAGATGTGCAAAGTGTGTTGTTGAAAAAAAAAACTTCCACGACTTTACTTTCAAATGGCAAACAAAACTCACCCAATGGAGCATTTAAGACAATGAAATCAAAAGAAAAGAGGTGAAGAAAACCTGCGAGCTGGTGAGGACGGTGAGAAGCGAAGCGATGACGTACCACCGCATCTCGCCGCCGATCTAATCCGCCCTGCAATCTGGGACTCACTTGGAGACTCGTCTAAATCTGTGGAGTGATCACTTTAATCGCACGGTTTGGCGCAGTATTTTTGTCTAGACAGCTGCTCCGGATCACGTCAGATGCGGTTGCTTTTTGGTCGATTCGGCCGTTTTCGGGCTTTTTTGGTTTGGGTGTTCAGAGTAGGGAGTAGGAGTAGGAGACGGTAGGAGGCCTTATATACGTGTCCAGAGGTACAACCTTATTTCAGGTTCTGTAACCTCCACACAGTCGATGCGGGTTTCGAACCTTGGTCACTTGGTCCAATTTTCCCACCACTCGACCAACTGAGCTACCTGTGCAGGTAGCTAGAAGTTTTCTCTAAATATTTCTGATCTAAATTCATTAAGTTCTGATCTGATCTGATTTTTCTGATCTGATCTAATATGATCTCAAACTTTCTGATCTGATCTGAATCTTTCTGATCTGATCTGAATCCTTCTGATCTGATCTGAATCTTTCTAATTTGATCTGATTTGAATATTTCTATAATTATAATAATTATAATAATTATAATTATAATTATAATTATAATTTAAAAATAATTATAATTATAATAATAATTATAAAAAATATAATTATATTTTTAATAATAATTGTAATTAAAATTCAAATTATAATAATTATACCTATTACACTAATTATAATTATAGCTATTAATTCGGTTTGGAGAGTTAGTATCAAACAAAAAGCATATAATTTTTCGATTTGGTTCGATTCGATTTAGTTCGGTTTGGATTTGTTATTTTTTAATAATATATGAATGTTTTATTGAATTTCTTTCATTTCATTCGGTTTTGTTCGTTTTTTATCGGTTTCGATTTGGTTCAGTTTAATACGTTTTGGATTTTGTTTTACCAAACTCAAACCAAATCGCATATGATTCGGTTTCGTTTCGATTTAGTTCGATTCAGTTAAACCAAACCAATATGCTCACCCCTAGTTCAGACCTTTGTATCGAGTGAGAATTAAATATAGGTTTAACTCAAGTTAGGGAAAATTGCTATTAGCCAATTTGATCACATTACTAGTTTAACTTTGCATTATCAAAATTTCATTAATTAACCAAGAGCTGTAAGCTTTTTATTTTTCACTACTTACTTCTCAAGTCAATATTGATCTAAGAAAGAATGACATAAAAATTACTCACCCAAAAAAAGTACTCACCAACTTTCATTGGACAAAATATGATCAAAATTTTTTAGACCAAAAAGTGTCTCAAACCTTATGCGCTTGTAGACCTTCTACGTTGGAACAAAGACCGTCACAAGCAAAGAAGACCTCACAGGTTATCGCCTTCGCAAACGATCCTTGCCGCCGCCATCACTTTCCGTAGACGGATCCTCGCCACCGCCCTCTCAATCACCTTGGTCTTCGCCGACCCTGCCTCTGTCTTCTCCCTACGCACTTCATTGGAGGCGTCTTCTTCCCTTCTGTTCAGATCAGTGACGATGTCGTGCGGCGCTTGCCGCCACTCCTCCTCCTCTTCCTTGTAACATCGTCCCCAAGTATATTTACTTTTTAGTAAATTATGTATTGAACCTTGAGGAATGGTTATTGAATTTACGAGGTTGTAAATTTTTATTTTGCGTGATTTTGTAAAATGCACGTGGGGCCCGCACCGGGAGCGGGACCCACCCGATATTTCCATGACCACATATTATATTCATCTTAATCTAGATAATATTTAAATGGTGGTAGATATTCTAGTTGGTCCATAGAAAAGGCATATAGTTGTCTGGTTGATCAAACATTGCCCATATACCAGTATCGGTATTTCGTTAGATAACAACCCATAATAAATTACGGGGACTTCTAAATTAAAGTTGGGAAACATATATTCATTCTAGACGTCCATAATAATTGGGAGGATGATATATATTTTATTTGGCCCGATAAAATAAAATATAATTAAAACAGTCTGAGAAATACAACTTTCGGAGCCAAACGTACATTTCGGGATGGGATGACCTCCCACATGAGTGGGGACCATCTCACATTTTTGAGAGCTCAATGTTGACAAAGGGGACGACTGCACAACATGAGTTGTGGTGTGTGTGCGCGCTGAGGGTGATGGTTGGGTGAGAATTGATCCAAGGTGGACCTCCCCCTTCACTTATTTGCCATTTGAGACAAAAGGAGTCTCCTCACTCCCTCCCCCGTTCTCTTGTGCATCCAAACCACCCCAAGCAAGGAGAAGAGCTCTGCAAACATCATACTACATAGCCAAATTCGAGCTCAAGCAAAGGAGGTCCAAGAAAGGAAGTTTAAAGAAGAAAGAGTGAGGAAAAGTTTGGGAGATTAAATTAATGACATTATTATTACCTTCCCTTCTTTTAAATAAGTGTATATGATTAGTAAGTCATATGTAGAACCCCTAGGATTGTTTTACATGTTTAGAAGTGTAGAATGAGGGGTTGGAAGGTAGTTATAAGTCCAAAAACGGACTTAGAAGCCAAAGTGATTGGTTCGCCGGAAAATAACCTTTTAGAGGTTATTTGTGTTGGTATGAGTTTTGTGATGATGAAACCTTGTTAGGAACTTGTCTAAGGTGTTCCTAGTGCTTTCACAGAGTTGAAAGAGTTGCCAGAGTTATCGTCGGAGTTCAACGAAGTTCGCCAGAGCTTCACCGGAGTTCAACCGAGGAGGGTAGAACTTGTTAGAGCTCATTCGAGGTGAGTGGACGGCTTAATGTCTTGTAACTCTTAGGTTAAGTATGAGATTACCTAAGTAAATGTTATATGTGTTCATAATGATGTTTAAAAGAGTTTAAGGATGTGATTAGCCAAAATGATTAGGCTTAAATGAAAAGAACTATAAAGATATGCATGAAAATGATATGAAAATGTTATAAAAACACATGTGATGTTTTGAATGGCCAAATTGGAAAATATTGATTGTTTAAGACTTAATACACGTTCGGATTAAGTTTCGGATCAGTCAGAATCAGTTCGGGCGGTTAACAGACTGTTGACCGTGAAGGAGACAGTGAACCGGCGCTGATTATGGCTTGAATCAGTGTCGGTCTGAGTTCCGATTTCGGAAATTAATTAAATTCATTTGAACTGGCGCCGGTCAGGGCTTATACCGGCGCCGATTCGGCCCAGTTTTGCCTAATGAGATATTTTTGCATGGTTTGCATGACTGATTGTGTTTAGACTATAAGATGTGGCTTAGTCTTGATTATTGATTATGATCGAGACCATAACCGGGTAAGGTATATGGTAGAGCATAGGTTCGGGTGGAGTACCCAAGGGTCGAGCGGTGCCGTCAAAACTCCTAAGTTCGAGTGGAGTACCCAAGGACCGGGCGGTGTCCTCAAAACTCAGAATATAATCGGGTGGAGTACTCAAGGTCCAGGCGATGACCTCAAAACTCATGTATGCGGGTGGAGTACCCAAGGGTCGGCGGTGTCCTAAAAAATTGGAATATAATTGGTGGAGTACCGAGGGACTTGATTGTCCTCAAAACTCATAGATCTCAGTTTAGTAATTCAGGATCGGGCGGTGTCCTAAAGATACACCAGGAGGAGTCCTATACACTCATAGGTATATGGGTGGGTTGGGATTTTAAGTCAAGGACATTGACCACTATTATTTCCCAGATAAACAATGATCTACGAGTTGGGTATGTTCCAAGTATATATACTGACCAAGACTTCGGGGAAGAGAATATAAGTATATGTATCACCCTATGTTTGGGTCTTATACTTGAAACGTTAGTTATTCTACATTTAGCACGCTGCTTGCTCGGTTTTCGCGTACTGACCTCTTCGGTGGCCTCACCATTTTCAAGTTGAGGCTAGGGCTTGCTACCTGCACCTTCATACGGGTGAAGTCAACTCAAGGAAGACGTGGTTTGTGCTTCCTTATTCCTTTAAAAATTACAAACACTTGTCATGGATATTTGAATTGTTATAAATTATTTTGGGCATGCGAGCCCATGTTTTGGCCGGATGTGGCCTGTGACTTACCGTTGAATATTTCTGCTATATTGGTTTAAATGTGATGTTATATATGTTTACTTACTGAGTATGGATAGACTATGTTCATGAATGACTTGTATGATTACGTGAGGTTGACTTGCGAATGACGCCACTTGATCATACAACGGTTGTACACGCGCTTAGATGTGGTCGTCCTCGTCCTCGTCCTCGTTAGTCTAAGCCACTGACCGGGGGAGGAAAAAACTATAGTCACTGGTTGGGGGAGGGCATCCACTGGACGGGGCGCAACGGCAATCACTAGCCGGGGGCAGGCATTGACTGGGCGGCGGCGACAGTCACTGACCGGGGGTGTGGGCAGTTGCAGTCTTGCACTGGTCAGGGGCAGCGATGGGCAGTCACTGGTTGGGGGGCGGCGACATCACTATTCGGGGGCGGAAACAGTGACTGACTCGGGCAATGGCAGTCATTGATCGGGGCGGTGGTGACAGTCACTGGACGGGGCGGCAACAAACACTAATCAGGGCAACAACGGAAGTCATCACACGAGTGGTCACTATTTGGTAGTCTAATTCTAGTTACTAAAAATGCAAGTCACTACATACCAATCATATTTTTGAGATTTTGTTTTTGTTGTCACTTTTTTGTCTTCCAGTCTTTATTTAGTAATATTCATAAAATAAGGCTTTGATCTAATTATATTTAATGCGCCATATAATCTCAAATTCAATGAATTTTGTTGTACAATATACAAGTAATTCATATAATGTCATATTATTTTCAAATTTAAGGTCTAAGCAATTCATCGTAATGATTATCAGTCATAATTGTTGCTTGTAATTTCTAACTACATGTTTGTTAGTAAGAGAGTCAAATTGTTGAATTACTTCAAATTCTAATGTTTTATACTTTAGACAACTTTCATTAAATTTGAAAATAATATGATGTCAAACGAGATTAATGTTGACAAAAAGGTAGCTGTGAGGATAACCAAAACTTGAAGTGTAATTAGTTGACTTAAAAAATGCAAGGTGAAATAGAAAGTATGACCAAATCTCAATGGGGGGGGTGATGGTAATTTCCATAAGGCTTAGATTAATAATCTCACATTTGCTGGAGTCTTAGCTTCTACTTTTTGAGTTTAGACACATGATTACTATTTCTTGTTCACATGTGATTTTTCTGAACATATTAATGAT